ACCAACCCCCCATTTTCCCCATCCTCCAGGGACTGGCCTCAGGACTCCCAAGCTTTTGCCACTGGTGTTTTGGGAATCCTGCCTGGAAACAGGCCATGCTGAGCTGGGGGTGGGGAACTGCTAAACTCTGGCTCCCAAAGGACATCTTCCTGCAGCCACTGTCATGCAATTTTTGGGTTTAAGCCCAAAATTTTGGGGGTTTAGCAGCAATTTTTGGGTTTAAGCCCTTAAGCTGCAAAACTGCGCTGGGAACCATAAGGATCCAACACCTCAGGAGAGTTCTTCCCCCCTCTCCTCGATGCTCCAGACCACGGTTTTCGTGTGGGGGCTGCTAGCTGTGGGGAGGGAATGGCTGCTGGTAAAGACACCCAAAAAAGCAACAGAAATGACATTGAGCCCCAGTCAAAGTGGGTAAAACCCCTCACTTCCTGAGCACTGCAAAGCATCAGTGAGGACAGGTGTCCTCACTGTCAGCAGGGGATGTGGGAGAGACAGTCCAGGGACAGCCCCACCTTCCACTGGGACCCCATTCTTTGCTTTGGAAGCCCACCTGGCTGCCAGAATTTGGCTCCCTGGGCTCGAGCCGCCAGGGATGGGTGGTCAGAGCATGGGTGGCTCCTGCCCCTGGCTCTGTGTGATTCAGGGCGAGTGACACTGGCGGGCGCCCGCACCCGCTCCTGAGTCCCCACGAAATGGTGCCAGCCCCGTCCCCAACACCGACCCCAGGCACACCCTGGGGACACCCACTCCCTTTCTCAGCATCTTCCCTCGGCGCTTTGTCCCGAATTGGAAAAAAACGGCGTTACCTGCTGGGCCCAACTCGGCTTTTCCAGGAGTATTTAACTTTGCTGGTCCCTCCCGGGAACCAAACAAGCGGCTCAACCTCACCAATCTCGCAGCTTTGGCAGCCAAAGTTGCCTCTAGTCTTCTTATTTGTCACAGAACCGCCGTGCTAAGGCTCGGGAGAATCTTTATTTAGTGTTGCAGATGTCACCAAGGCACCGCAGATTGGAAATGAGTCCAAAGGATTAAGACGAGGTTATTAATTGGAGGCCTTCCCCTTTAAGAATGATTGACAGTTACTTTCTGGACAAGTAATTGCTCTAAATGTCCCCCCAGCACGGGTCCGGGGGGGCAGTGGCGGACAAAGCCCCGAACTGCCTTCCCCACTCGGATTGTCTCCCCACAAAGGCGTCCTGCTGGAGTTTGCCGTGTAATCCCCTCATTACGGGCGAGGAGAAAGAATTAGAAACAGGGGGAGCGGAGAAGAAAGGATGGAGGGGGAGGGGGCAGGATTTCCTTGGACTGTGGAGCCTCTGCCCCAGGGATGGGGTCCGGGGCAGATGCCCCAAGCCTCAGTGGGATGGGGATGCTGCAGTGATGGGTGTTGTCCCCCCTGGACAGGGATGGCGAGCCTGGGGGTGGCCCTGTGACAGCGTGGGTGGCCCTGTGGCTCCCAGTGGTGCTGTCTGCAGAGCCCTGTCCATGTGGGGAGCAGAGATGGGGACAGCGTGGGGACAGGGATGGGGACCAGGCATGGGGTCCAGCGTGAGGACCCAGGGTGTGGGCACGGTCTGGGGACCTGCTCTGGGGTCTGGCTGTGGGCCCAGGTGTAGGGACCAGCCAGAGAGACCAGCCCCCCTGAACAGCCTTGGGGACCTGATGTGAAGACCAGGCAGGGAACACTTACGGGGACCAGAGCAGGGGACCAGGCAGGAAGGCCAAGCGTGGGGAGCGGCCATGGGGACCAGGTGTGGGGATGACCCATGGACATGGGACTGAGCACTGGGCCAGGCATGGGAACACCCTGTGGGGAGCAGCTGTGGGATTCAGCCAAGGGGACAATCCCTGGGGGTGCCCATGGGCCCTGGCCTAAGGGGGCGTGGGACAAAGGCAGCCAGGCTGAGGGGCAGGGCTACCATTCCTCTCCTCTGCACTCCCACTGCTGCCTCTGGGCTCCAAAGAATGATGGAAACATCATGGTGAAGGTCCTGGGCTGTGCTTGGTGCTGCCCACAGCCCCCACCAAGGATTTTGCCCTTTTCTTTCTTTGCTCACTTTTACTTTCTCCCAAAACCATCTTCCTGCCACCTGCAACCGCCGCCACCCCCGGGCCTGTCTAGGCTTCCTCCCACTCCCTTCCCCTCCTGGCCACGCTTCCCCTTTCAGATGGCAAATGTCACTGTGGGGGTTTTGGACCCTGTGCCAGGTGGCTGCTGGCCCCGGAGTGGGTCTGTGCCCTCCCCACCAGAGCTGCTGTTGGTGAGCAGCCCCCTCTGTGTCCTGGTGGGCCCCGAGGCCACCCCGTTGTCCCCCACTGGGGTTGTGAGGCTTCACCTGCCCTGTCTCACACCTCTTTGGGGACAGTGTGATGTTGTCTTGGAGATGGCACGCCACTACCCTGGGGACAGTGTGCCACCACCCCAGGGACAAGCTGGCACTGCCCTGGGGACAGCAAGACCACACCCCAGGGATGGCATGAGCTGCACAGGCAGGCCATGCAGCCCCTGGGTTTGGGGTGACACCCCCGTGCCATGCAGCGCTGCAGGAGTGCAGGGGAGAGCAGGGACCTGCTGCCTGCAGAGGTGCTGGGGACATCCCTGGGCAGGGGGGATGTGTGGGGCAGGGGGGGTGTGTGGGACAGGGGGATGTGTGGGACAGGGGGATGTGTGGGCTGGGGAGATGTGTGGGACAGGGGAGATGTGTGGGACAGGGGGGATGTGTGGGCTGGGGGAATGTGTGGGACAGGGGGATGTGTGGGGCAGGGGGATGTGTGGGACAGGGGTGCAAACCGGACCCCACTTGCCCCGATGCCCATGCTGGCCTCCGTGACGAGTGCAGGAGCCGTGTGCCCCACCCCGACGGCCCTCGGCAGGTTTCCCCAGGGTGCCCCACTGGCCCGGGGTGCGGGCAGGTCCCCGGGGTGCCGTGTTTTTGGGGCCGGGTCCCTGCCCGGCTGCCCGGCCCCGCGCTCTGTGTGCCGTGCCGGCCCCGCGGCCGCCACAAGGTGTTGCCTCTCCCGGGGGGAGGCAGCAGGCTGATTTGCCAAATGATTATAATTGCCTTTTAGGAGCAGATAGCAAATTGATTTGCTTCCTTGTCCAAGGCCCGTAATCGCTTCATCACTTTAAAATATTAATGCTATACTTCTTTGCTAGTTTCCCAATTACCCTAATTGAAGGCAAATTGGTTAAGAAGGTGCAATGCAGAGTATCAGGGGGTTTAGTTCACTCAAATGACAGTTTTAAACCTCCCTAATCCTATTAGCGCGCAAAGCTGCTAACGCTTAGAGACGCTGCGTCAGCTTACCGGGGCGGTGGGGCCGGAGGCGGGGGTCGGGCCGGGGGGCGGCCGGGGGCCACCGGCCTCACGTGACCAGCTCGGCCGGGGATTTATCACTTTTTTAGTTCATTAAGAGGCCTTTAGCAGGCGGAGAGGCAGCAGGGGTGACCCAAAAGGGTGCTGAGCGGGAGGCAGGTGGCAGCATGGGGAGGGCGGGGGGGCAGGACGATTAGCCAAGGAGACCTGGCGGAGGGTCCTGACCCGAATCCCAGCTGGCGCTGGGAGTGCCCATGCAGCCCCACTGGGAACACTGGGAGAGGGCTGCCCATCAGAGCAGGATGGGACCCTGATGGGAACGGGGATGGAGGACTGAGGTGGGGTGGCAGAGCTCGTTGGGGACCTCAGTGCCACCATCCCAGCAGCTGGCACTTGGTGGCGATGTGGGGTGGGATCAGCGTTGTGCTGGGTGCCACAGCTGCTAACACCCTGTCAGGATCCTGGCGAGGGACTGGCGTGGCACAGACGGTCCCATCCCACAGGTGGGGTTTGTGCCTGAAGGGAGATTTCCTGAGTTCTGAAGAAACGCTGGTGAACGGGGATGAGAACGATGGCAGAGACAGCAGGGGTGATGAAGTCAGCAGGGACAGTGGGGCCACCAAACACCCCGAGGTTCCCCCGTGTCAGGCCCAGCCTGTCTCACGCTCCCTGGGATGCTCCAGCAGCCACCAGCCGCTGCACTGGTACCGGAGGGGTTCCGGGGGGAACCGGGCACCTCGTGCCTCCAGGGTGCTCCCTGCTCCGTGCGCTCCAGCTCCTCAGCGGCAGCTGAGCGCGATGGCTCTGGCGGCAGCGCGGAGCTCGGGGACAGCTCCCAGCCCACCTGCGCTGGATCCGGCCGCCCCCTCCCAGCCCGGCCAGCGCGGCCGTGGGCAGCCCGGCCAGGGCCGTCCCCGCAGCCTTTCCGGAGCAGATGGCAGCGGCGTGGGGAGGATGGAGGCGGCTCAGCGCGTCCTTCCTTTCATGCACACACAGCGTGATTCCCGGCGGCTCCGGCTCCGGCGGGAGGTGCCGCTGGGGCCAGCGCTGGGCCCAGTACATTTTACACGGGTTCAGCGAGCTTAGTCCTCGGGGACAGGCGACTCAGGAAGATTAGACCTCGCTAAAATAGGCAGGTATTAGTGATCTCAGCAGCCCCCGGCCTTCCGGCGCGGCGGCATTTAAGCCAGCGCTGCTACCGAGCGCCCAGGACAGAGTCCCTGGCAGGGCAAGAGGCAGCCGGGCACCCTCGCCCAGCCAAAGGGATGCCCCTGCTGCCCGCACCGAGGGGATGCTCGAGTACGGGAGTAAATGCTCCACACCCGCTCCCGGTGCTGTCCCCAAGGGGTAGCCAAGGGGGTCCCAGTGAGGGCTCCTGCGGAATGGGGGGACAGACACAGTGGCCAAGCTGGTTGGTGGCTCAGGGGATATGGGGCAGACCGGCTCCAGTGCTGTCATCATGTCCCCTCACCAACCAGGACAGGGACTGTGTGGCTGCAGGATGTGGCAGGACGACCAGAATGGTGCTGGCAAGTGCTGTAAATGCTGTATTTATTGAGCCAAATGGTGCAGGGTGCCAGGGCTGGTGAGGGGGGTAACAGTGTCAGGGACCTGCCTCATATGGGGGCTCACTCCAGGAGCACCGCGAGAGGGACCTGACCACACCGGCTGGAGGGGACCCAGGCATTCGGCACCCTTGCACACCCGGGGAAAACAACTGGGAATGGTTTTGGGGAAGAAGACCCACGCCTAACGTGTATTGGGACCCGCACCCCAAGTGAAGGCACCCAGAGCCTCCGCATCCCGTGGCTCCCGGGGACAGGGGCTGCCGATGTCCCCTGCAGCGGTGCTACATCAGGGCGCACTTCTCCCTAACCTGATCCACGCCGCCCAGAGCGCGGTCCCGCAGCGCCGGCAGCTCCACCTGCCTCAGCTTCGCCAGGAAGGCGAAGGCCCCGGCGCTGCCATCCTCCTCCTCCTCCTCGCTGTGCACCATGGCTGCCAGGTCCTGCGGCAGCTCCACCGCCCCTCCGGCCACGTGCACCTGGGCATCGTCCCGCTCGTCCTAAACGCGAGTGGGAGAGGTGTCGGGTGGGGACAAACGCGGTGCCTACCAGGGTGGAGCGGAGGACGCGGGACAGAGAACAGCCAGTCCCAGGGGGCTGGGGACACGGCGGGATTCCAGGACTGTCCAGTGCCAGACTCGGACGCTGGATGGACAGTGGGCAGCAGATAGTAAGGCGGAGACAGTGGCCGTCTGCTGCCCTCTTCAGGAATCCCTCCAGCCCCAGGGGAGCGCGGCAGCCGTGGGCCTGAGGCTGTTCCGGTCGATGTAGGGTCAAAGGGAAGCCCCCGGGTCCGCAGACAGGCTGGTTCTTACCTGGGCCAGGTGGTACTTGTCCCGCAGGTGCATCCGCACCGTGGCCCGTTCTGCCTTCCTCTGTGCAAACGCCTTGTCCCGCTCGATCCTGCAGCAGGTGCCACACCATCACCCCCTCCTCACTGAGCTCCCCAGGACCACCCAACCCTAATCACCCTGCTCCTCCTGCAGAGCAGGTCTAGGGCAGGAGGGTGAGAAGGTCTGAGACCCACAAGAGGGTTTAAGTGGGGATCTAGGAGCAGGAGCCACATCCTGTCCACCCAGCTCAGCACCCAGATGCAGAGGTGGTTGATGAAGGCGCCCATTGCAGGGACTCGCTCCTCCTGCAGCCTCTCATCTCCCTGGTGCTGAGCTGCTGGGTTCCCACAGCACCCAGTCCTAGGGAGGTGGGACCTGAATCCAATCCCGTGCTGACCCCCATCCCTTGGCTCCAAGGGTGCTGGCTGGAACCATCCTGGGGCTCTGACACCTGGGGGCTCCCCTTATCACCTGTGGCGCACAAAAGTGCTGTCACAGCCCTGTGCCAGGACCTCCATGGACCTTCTACGCGGTGGGGGAGACACGCTGAAGGGCACCTGCTCTGCACTGTCTCTTGCCCCAGCTGCCTCCCTGTCCCTGTCCTGTGCCACCCTGGGGAAATCCCACAGCAGGTGGGATCCTGATTCTGGAGTGCTGGGGGACCCTAGTGACCCACTCAGCCCCAGCAAAGCCTTACTTCTCCTCCAGCAGCTGCCGCTGGTACTCCTCAAACTCCTCGCGGGCCATGCTGCTGGGCAGCGCAGCTGCCTTGTCATCTTTGGGGGCCCCCTTGGGGGACTCGTCCTTGCCCCCCTGGAAGCTCTTCAGGGCGGCCGTGAAGAAGGAGGCCATGGTGGGTGGTGGTGGCAGCTCCTGCCCCAAGGTGCCCACCGGGTCCCAGTGCCTGCAAGGTCAGTGGGCCCAGCCCCAGGGGCGCCGCGGATCAGGCGCGGATTAAGGCATTAGGAGGGGAAGGCACAGCCAGGGTGGAAGGACCTTCCCTTCGCTGCACCCAAGGGTTCTTGCAGGGGACAGTGGCAGCGTGGGGGGACAGCAGGTGCTGCCTCATCAGAGTGACAGGGAGGTGGAAGGAGTCATCAAATTGCATCACACAGTGGGTCAGGCTGAAATATCCCCCATTAGATGGGTCCAAAATTGGGTCAGCACCCACGGGACTGGGGCAAGCCCTGGGAGAGCACCATGCCGTGGGCACCCAGAACCATGCACTCAGGGGGACTGGGGGTGCAGGAAGTCAGCACAGAGGAGACACAAGAGGATTAGCTGAAAAAACCCAGTCGAGGGTCAAAGGACTGGCAGCAGATGAGGCGGTGGCGGTGCACACCCACCCGCGGCAGCCCCGTGCCCCCGCTAATCCCCGCTCCACCGAGACCGAGATTGCTCGGCAGCCTGCGGGGCCGGGGGCTCCCCACGGCTGGGATGCGCCCCGTGCCCTAATCTATATGAAAGCAATTCCCATACAGGCTCTGATTAAAGCATAATCCCCTGCTGCACAGAGCCCCGATGGGAGAGGGGCTGGATGGCATGGGGGGTTCCAAGGGCCAGAGCTCCTGGCCCCTCCAAAGCCTTTCACTGGGCTTTGTCAGGCCCCAAGTGAGACATAGGCCTAATTTCATCCCAGAGGCTTAAAGATGCTGTTGAATGAATTTCTTTGGTTTAATCAAAAAGCCCAAATCCATGTGGTTTAGCTGGCTGTGCCAGCATCCCCGTGTGGGGCTGGGCACTGGGGCAGGGCTGAGTCAGGGTGGGGTCTCATCCTCCAGTGAGTGGAGATGTTCAGTCCTGTCTCCCATCTCTGGGAGTCGCAGCTTGAAGGGACCCCACACGCAGCATCTGCTCCTGGGGCTGAGCACAGGGGGTGTGGGCTTGGCTCCCTTGGGGTCTGTGCTCCCCACTCTGGTGGGCCAGGGGAGATCAATCCCATGGCAACCTTCTCTGGGCTGTGTGGTGGGTAGAAGGACCATGCTGGGATGGAGGGAGGCTGCTACCCCATCTCCATAGGGAGAGAGCAGCACCACAGGCCCTCCTGTTCCTGCCCCCTACTGCCACTCCCAACGCTGGAGGGTCTAGGGACTTCAGGTCCTGTGTCCTGGTAGCAGGATGGGGGTTAAATATCCCTCAGGTGCTTCAGCTCCTTCTGCAGCTTCTCTGTGAGTTTCTTGAAGGACGGGCGCTTGCCTGGCTCCAGCTCCCAGCAGCTCTTCATCAGGGCATAGATGGTGGGTGGGCAGCCCTCGGGGGGATCCATGCGGTACCCCTGCTCCAGCAGCTCCGTCACCTCCTTCAGGGCCTGCCAGGATGGAGAAGCCAGCTGGCAACCCCCTTCCCTGCTCTGCTCAGGGGGCAGTGGGATGTCCCTGTCCCATCAGTGCCAGTGGGGTGTAACCTGTGGTGTTCCCTGGAACAGTGCTCACCAGCTTAGGGTAGGGTGCCCGTCCAAAGGAAAAGGTTTCCCACAGGAGGATCCCGTAGCTCCACACGTCCGACTTGGAGGAGAATTTCTGTGGTGGCAGGAGAGGGGAGGCTGAAGCCAGCTGAGGGCTGCGCTGGGTCCCCGTTGCTTCCCGAGGGCAAGACAGAGGACAGTGACTGATCCCTGTCCCCCCTCAGGTCCCCAGGGTGTGAACACCCCCCAGTCCCATCATCCTGCCCCAATTCCCACTGCATGCTTGCTCAGGACAGAGGCAGAATTGGGAGATGCAGGGCTGACTGTGCCAGAGGCCACCGTGGGGCAGGGATGGGTCAGTGGCAATGGGAACAAGCAGGGGCAACCCAAGGGCATGAGATGCTTTGGAAGGACCCCATGACCAGCCCTGTCCCCCTCACTGTCCCTCACATTGTGTTTCAGGGCCTCTGGTGCTGTCCACTTCACAGGAAGCAATGTGGCATCTGCACCCTTGGGGTTGACCCGGGCCAAGCCGAAGTCGCTCACTTTGGCCACGTTCTCCTCGGAGATGAGGATGTTGCGGGCAGCCAGGTCCCGGTGCACCAACTTCTTGGACTCAAGGTAGTCCATGCCTTGAGCCACATCCCTGCCACAACCGAATGAGACAGAGCCGTGTCACTGAGTGTTCCCTGGGGCTGTACAGGGACGTGCAGGGCGCTGGGTCCCAGCCCGGAGGAGGAGGGGAACTTACAGAGCGAACAGGAGGAGTTGCTGGGTCGGGACGAGCGCCCGGCCCCGCGTGCGCAGGAAGTTCACCAGGTTGCCCTGACAGAGGAGGATAAAGTGAGTCAGGACCAATGGGATGGGGCTGCCAGGAGACTTTGCCTTCTGCAGGTGCTGCAGTGCCTGGCATCTATGATGACTCAGCCCCTAGACAGAGATATTGTTCCCAAATCTAAGTGGTGATGGGTCCCACTGACTGAGGAGCAGCCAGGTACTCTCACCTTGCTCATGAACTCCATGACAATGTAGAGGCCGTTGTGCAGGATCACTCCCAGCAAACACACCAGGTTTTTGTGCCGGACCTTCCTGGAACGGAGGGGATCTGAGTAAGGAGGTGCCTGCTCATCCCGGGCCACAGGCAGGGTCGGGCCACGCCTGCACGGAGCACTCACGTCATGGCAGCTGTTTCAGCGAGGAAGGCCTGGGCAGTCACATCGCACTTGATGTTCTTCACAGCCACCCTCTGCCCCAAGTACTCGCCCTGCAGGACATCTGGGAGAGCATGGGAGAGTCAGGATGAGCCCCACATCCACCCTCCTGTACCCCAGGCTGAGCTCCCCATGCCATGAGATGGGGAGGGGGATCAGGCAGTGCCATGTGGGGAAGCTGCACTGGGGAACCTCCAGCCCCATCCTCTCACCTACCTCCGAACTCGCCTTGCCCAATGCGGTCTCCCAGTGTGAGGTGTTTCAGGTTCAGCAACCAGCCAGCTGGGCATGGGCACAAGGGCAGGTTAGCAGTCACCACCAGTGGGGCTTTGTCCCCAAAATGCAGATCACAGCCCCCTCCCACCATCCCCTACCTTTGGCCAACTCCTCCTCAGCTGACTTCATCCCAGATTTTGGTTTGGGCTTCACCAGCTTGGTGCAGATGGCTCCCTGCTCCTTCATGTAATGCTGTCAAGGGATGAACAGGTGGAGGTGATGCCAGATCTTACCCTCAGGGTCGGGGTGTCCAGGGAACAGCTTTGGGATGTTCCATGAGACCGCACCATTGCCACCCTCGAGGACAGCCCATGTCTCAGCCTTGCTCCCCTCCGGGGACAGCCAGAGGAACACCACGATGGACCACAGGGGACATGGGGTGCTACTGGTGTGGTTGAACCCCTGGCAGGTGCTGCAGCAGCTGAGGGCAGTTGGCAGAGGCAATGGGAGAGGATGCAGCCAGACAGGATGGGACAGGATGGGACCAACCTTTGGAGTTTTAAAGTGGGGCTAGGGCAGCTGAGAAGGGAAAGGAGTCACCCAAAAGTTGTGTCTAAAAGGAAAACACAAGAGTGCAACTCCCTGGAGAGGAGACAGCATGAGGGAAGGACCACCAGGAAAAAATCACTGGAAGGGTGAGAGCTCACACAACAGCCTGGGAGCCCTGTGGGGTCAGCAGGTGAGAGGGGGCTTTGAATGGAGGGAGACACAGCAAAATGCCTCGAAGTCCAGGAGAGGCAGAGGCCACCAGGGTCTTCCTGCTACATGAAGCACTGAATAAGCAGGGATAGGGGTAATGTGGCCCTTGGCCAGGGACTGTGACTGCAGTTGGCACAGCTGGATTGCAGAGACATCCTTGGGGTATCCCAGATCTGCCCACTGCACTCCAAACTGAGTGGGAACCATGAGCATTTGAAGGGGATAGAGAATTACACCAGGTAAAACACCAATGAAAACCACACAGAACAGGACAAGGACCTGCCTCTGTGTGAGCCCATGAGGTCCTTGCCCTGCTCTGGCACCGGTGGGACCCTCTGCCCGGGGGTCTCACCTCAATCATGTCAATGAGGTTGGAGAAGTACTGCTGGCTGTCGATGCTGAGCGTGTTCTCCTCGTGCACCACGCGGTAGTGGATCACCTCTTTGCCAAAGCTCACGCACAGCACGTAGTCACCAGGGTGCCGGACAGACTCACGCACCAGGAACAGCCCGTCCTCGGGGGGCTGCAGCTCCTGCACCGCCTCCATCCCTGAGATCTTCCCGTGGAACCAGCTGAGGAGGGGCCATTGGAGAGGGGGCTGAGCCAGGGGGCTTCCCCAGGGGCAGCAGCGAGATGGGGAAAGCAGAGCCCTGCCAAAGCTACACAGACCCTACTGCATGAAACCCCTCTCCACGGGATCCAGCCAAGCTGGGTTGGCACAATTAGGGGTTCTTGAAGCCAGGTTCTGGCCCCAGCAAATCCCTCCATTGCCAGGGCACGGCTACAGGATGCTCTGTCCCCAAAACATGGATGGGGGGACACGCTGGACTCATCTGCTGTTGCAGCTTCCAGGGGCTCAGCTGGGTCCCCCGGGCCCCCCAGTGACCCCAGCTGTACTCACGGCATCAGGCTGAGTTTGGGGTCGGCGCGGATGGCCCCGCGCTCCCGCAGCGCGCTGGCTGCCAGCAGCCCCTCCTGCCCCGTCTCGTTGTGCCTGGCGCGGTACCAGCCTTTGCCCTGGGGACGAGAGGGTCTCAGAGCAAGGGAAGGAAGGGCGGATCCCTCTGGGAAGGGAGGGACTGGCGCTGACAGCTGAGCTGATGGCACTGGGGTCGCACTCCGGCCGTGCCCTCTCAGTGCAGCGTATCCTGAGCACCCGCAGGTCTCACCTCCACGGCCTCGATGATGGTGACCATGTCCCCCTTGCGGAAGGCCAGCTCCCGGGGCTTGGGCTTGCTGTGGTCATGCTTGGTGACACACTG